CCCCAAAACCCCAAAACCCCTAAAGAACTAATCTAAAGAATGAATTTGTAATTGTTTAAAAAAATATCTTTTATGATTATTTCTAATCTCACCATAAAAGCATTTATAATAGTTATTTGTAATCATTATTAAGATTTTTCACTTGATATCTTGAACTAACGAACTTTATTATCATTTTTTTACTTATAACTTTTAAAATTAATTCTTAACCTTCTATGTACTACTTTAACTTCGTATTCATCATTTTCATCTTTTGTTTTTAAGGATCGCATTTTCTTCAGTTATTCATAGTTTTATGTTTTGTAAGATTTAAATAGACCAAGTCGCCTCTATATTAATCCGATATTGTTTAAGATTATAATTCTTATAAAGCAGTAAATCCAGCGCGTAACAAATAAGATATTAGAGACTAGTATAAACGCCAAAACAGTTATTTAAAAATCCTCATTCCTATCAGAATCAGTGTCTATGAAAATCAGCCCTCCAATTAGAATTGAAATCTATAGTAATATAGTTATTATAAAATAAACTTAATTTTGTCTTAAATATTTGTATTACTTACAGAAGCATAAATACTAAATCGATCAATTTTATTCATCTGGGGATCGATATAAGGATTACGTTTGTGAGACAACTAAATTTCAAAGAATAGTATCATGATTCCTGATAGAGCCTATAAAAATGAATAATCATGAAGTTTTTACTCTTAATTAAGGATCAACAGTTGAAAGAACTGAAGAGAATGAAATAAACATAAATTTCTTTCCATTCACATAGGCCAATTCCCAATAAAAATTCTTATCATTTAAGCCGCTATAAAACAAGCCATACTATTTTATAGTTTTTACTTCAGATAATTTATTTCTGTTTCTCATTAATTAAAGAGAAATAAATACTGGAAAACAAATTGCCCAGACTATGATAAATGGTATGGATATAGCCATTGAAAACTTTCTATGTTCTCGAGTCCAGCATTCAATACTCATATCAGATCTAAGATACTGCTTCCCATCATCCATTTTTACACAACTAAATAATGAAAAACTACTCTAAGTAATGATTGGATAGCAGAGATATGCAAAAAGTATGCTTGAAGTTTTAAAATTTGAAATGTAGTTTTACTCATCCAAATACCTGAATGCTCTAGCTGAAGTCCAAATAAACCATGCTATTCCACTTAAAACAATAGGAAGAATCCCGTTTAGTATCACAAATAAATATGGCTGTTTTATAGTTGTCTCTAATCCTGAATTTTTAAGAAAACATTCAAATGAGAGAATCTACGAGAATCCTTATCCACCAATAGAGAAATACTCCAGAAAAGTTAATACTTTTTAAGGCCAATTCAGCTAAAAATCCTTTACCATCATTAAAATCTAAAAATAATTTGTAAGAATCCTCATCAAAAGGGTTTAGAGATTATTTCTATTAGGCTTTCTGATGAGTGAGCTATTTTAAATTATTAAATGTTTAAATTACTAAAGAATATAGACTATGTAAAGAGTCAAGCCTAGTATGATTGCTGTCAATATAGATATCTGCTCTGTAAGTGAAAGACATTTTGAGCAATCATACTGACTACTTCTAGCATAATAATCTCCATCAAGGTCTTTTGAGCATTCTGTACAGAGTCTACCTTAATATCCTAAACTGCATTCTGAATTATATCCCCCTCTTTAAAATATGAATAAGATTATTTACATACAAGCAAACTCCAACTTTTGGGCATTTGAAAATAGATGTTGTATTCAAACTACTTCTCCAATAATTCCTATTTACTTAAAGAATATTTCCTCCATCACATTTCATATTAGCTGGGCATAAATTGCAAGTTTAATCTGTAATTGATAGTGAATATGTCCCCTTTATGCATTGCTGACACTTACTTTAAATCAGAACCTCACCAGGCAAACAATCTCTTAAATATATGTCTATGATTAATGTTGAATCAAAATTTGGTTCAAATAACTTGATGTTCTCTGAATTTATTCCATTTGAGGTGTAAGCTTTAATTTAAAATTCTTGAGAGGGTTCACCCACAAGTAAAACATCTTTTATTTCAAAAATACCGTTAATTGCAACAAATAAAGTATTCCCGCTGACTGATAATAACTATTACTATGAATGATATTTCTATAAATCTTTTGAACTATAGCTTCCTGAGTATAAATATAAAGTACTAGAATTATCAAGATTTACTAGTTATTCATCTTAATCAAATAAACCAACCTATAAGGAATCAGCTTAGAGCAAACCTCCACTCGTCAGATTTCTAAGGAAACTGGTATCTGTGTTTAAGATTTTAAGTTTGTAGCTATAAGAAGCAATATCATTTCCATAAATCGTAGAATATTGCACCACCTTGATAACCCGCTGTATTTTCAGTAAAGTTATTGCCTTTAAAGTCATATTGGCATTCTAAATTGAGAATCAACTACATTTATAACTAGTCCAACTAATTAGTTATTAATTCCATTACTAAATTAGGAGTCAGATAAGTTCATATCTGACTTGGACAGTTATAAAATTCTAGAATTAAAATCTTCAATCTACATGTCATTAACTGTCAATCTACTTTTACTTGCTCAAATCATAGCTTGATCATCTGAATATGTTTTAAACTAAGTCATTATAAAATTCTCGAATACTGCTTGGGTCAATGAAACTTTAATGAAATCCTATGACTATTCGAGTAGTTCAATATTTTGAAAGGATGTATTTTTAAGATTGGATGTAGATGAGTAAGATTCCAACAATTAACCTTTTATGTATTATCCATACAAATTTTATAACAATAGCTATGAATTTGAATTTATTGAGATAAGAGAGCTTGAACCTGTGATATTTGTCACATTAACTTAGTTGATTTCTAATAACGATTCATCAATCAAAATCAAGGGTGTTTCTAGTTAATCAATATCTTAAATCAGAAATTATTTTAATTTTAATACTGATTAAGATTTGCTTTTAATAAGGGATGTTTAATTCATAATTACAAGATCATTATCAAAGGTTAAAGTACCTTTTATCAATTAAATTCCGTAATTTTATTACTGATCTATGCTTAGATTATCTAATAATATTTTAACATGCGAGAAGTATTCTTAATAATATTGTGAATCAAAATCTGTTTTAATTCCTTCAATGTCAAAATATACTGATAAATTATCCTAAATAAGTCCTCCACTAATCAAGATAACTCCTTAAGAATTAATAGTATAAGCAATACTAGCTATTGCAGCCTTATTCCTTGTTATATTACAATTTATGAACTGGGCTTATCCATCATTTTATACAAATAATACTCCTCCAATTAGTGAAAAATTATCAACAAAAGCACTATCTTTAACAGAAATATTTCCACTTAGCTAACTGAATAAAATACCTTAATAGCCATAATTATGCTTGAATTGACTTTATTCTATCTATATACTAGAGTTAATCTGCTCAACCATTATTATTGAGCCTCTTCCATATCCAAAATTATCTTCAAATGTAATATTAGTCATGAAAACTTGAGAAAAAGCTTTAACATACAATAGTGATAAACTTTAACCATAATTCCCAACTATGCTCGTATTTATGACATTAACATGTTGAAATTAATCCATCTCTGGTCTCTTCGGAACAAAATTAAATAATCTACCAGTGTTATTTCTAAATTCTGCTTCAGATATCTAAAACTTTTTGGAGATATGCTTTAATTCAAATAATGATGATTAACCTAGTTAGTTACTTATTGATCTAAATCTACTAATAGATACATCAAAATTTTCAAACTCTATCTCTTCTATCAAAATCATTGGACGTTTATCAACTTTGGTACAATTCATTATTAAAATGTCACTAAGTACAAATAATATTTCATCTTTTAATGATTAGTAACTTATTTATCTTATTCTTATAAATGAAACTTAGGAAATTTCAACTTAAACCTAGGATAGTCTGAAAGAATATGAGAAAGTTTCATCAATTTGCAGAGACTAATACAGGTAAATTATGTATAAATTTGCTATAGACATTATTAAGAGAAGAATATTAGATATTTACCATCATTACTCTTCAGAAGACGAATAAAATGCAAATCTTGAAGCATTATTTCTCTGGAATGTTCCATATCTATTAAATTTCTATCGTTTATTGTAATATTTTCTACCCTTATGTCAGATACTTGAATATTCTCACTGTTCTTAATATAAAGCAATCTAGATGTTCCCATTACTGAATTTTCCAGGCTTATGTTTTAGATTGAATTAGACAAGGCACTTACTAACTTGATATATGAAAGACTAGAATCAACATTATCTAGAATAAAAGTTATTAATGGAAAGATCTAAATACATTTGGAGGAAGTGTTTTTAAAGTAAATATTTTAAATTTAGATATTTGATCCTGTAACCTATATACATGAAGATAAAACTGAATCCTCTATCAATATATCCTAAAGTAGGTTAAAACATAATGATCTTAATTTACTTTTATAAAAACGTTTTTAGATTAGATTTTAAAAATTGGCATAGTTAGATGATTTGTTATATTCTTAAAAGTGTTATTTTTTAAAATTACTGTCACTTTATCCTCTGTTTTATCATTAATTTCTATAAATGCCCAATCTTAAACACCATATATTGTGTTCTGAATAATGTTATCATTTATTTGAATAGTAAGACGAGAATAGACTGATTTCTAGTACTCTATCTACAGCAAGTTGTTTTCATAATATGGAATCTAGCCATAATCTATTATATTGCCTTTAAATATAATACTTCTTTCAGCATGGTCTTTTTCACAAGTATCATAAAATTAGAAGTAAATTGGACTTGAAAAAGGACTTTATTAATTACCATAAAACTTGTTATTCAAGAATAA